GCTATTCCACATAAGGCTATGGTGAGTCCACCACAACGCTTTTCACTTTATTATGCAATTGATTTTCCAATAATTTCCATCCCACGGGACTTGTTAAGCGATGCTTTTTTACCCGTAATAAACCATTGTTCCATTGGCGTGTCTGACATGGGCGCTCTTAGCGTGTCCACAGTGTGCATCTGGGATCCTGGCCGCTAGACAATCTCTGGATCATCTGCTGCAGACGAATAAGCATCCTTTGCAGGCGGCGTGGAATAACATGGAGCGGCTTGCTGGAGACAGACACTAGGGGCTTGTGGTCGGTATAGTCGGTGAATTTGCGGCCAAAAATATAGTCATTGAAACGCTCCACGGCGCAGACCAATACAAGCATTTCTGTTTCTATTTGCGCGTAACGACGCTCGGTCAATGTCAACGTCCGGCTGCGAAAGACGTTAGGTTACCGTTCTGCATGACTACGGATCCCATACCGTACTGACTGTTGTCACACTGGATATCGAGCGGGAGTGCTGGGTTATAGTAAACGAGAACGGGGGCGTTTGTGATCATCTTCTTTGTTCTGAAATGCTATCTCTAGCTCCGCGTCCCAATGCCACTTCTCACTCTTATGCGTCAGTTTTCGTATCGGTACCATTACATCGGTTAATCTGGGCAAGAAACGACTTGGTTAATTCACCAGCCCATTCAGCCTGCTACCGGCTTTAAAGTCAGTAGGAGGAGGCATCTTTGATGGTTCTGACTTTCTCTGGATCTGGTTTCAGTCTTTCGGAGCTTAGCACTTGTCCTTGAAACACCATTTCCGTCCTACTCAGCTCGATCTTCTCTCTCGTTTTGGCTTGATGTCCCTTTCAAAACAGCGCTGCAAAAATCGGTGAAGGTTCTGGTCGTGCTCCTCTCGCGTTGCGCCAAAAACCAAAACGTTGTCTACTATACAGAACGTTCCTGGTAAATCGCCTAAAGCCTACACCAATCGTTTCTGGAATATCTCGCTAGATACCTTCAGTCTAAACGGTAAACGAAGCCAGCGGAAACGCCCGAACATTGTCCCAAACGTGGTCAGGTAGCTTGACTCTTCGTCAAGTAATACATGCCAAAACGTGGAAGCAAGGTCGACTTTAGTGAATATTCTAGCTCTGGATAGCGCCGGAAGTACGTCGTCTAGCATATAATGCTCCCTCCTGAGTGCGACGTTAAGTGGTTTTGGATCAATGCACACGCGTAGTTCTCCATATCTCTTAGTAACGATCGCCACCTGGCTAACCCAAACTGTCGGCTCTTACACTTTGGCTATTACAACCAAACTAGCAAAACGCTGCAGCTCGTCGAAAAATTTCTCACGTAAGGCAATGGACACCTTTCTGGTCGGCAACACTACCGACTTAGCGGATGCGATTAATGATAAATGAACACACCCTTCGAATCTCCCTATGACCCCGTGAAACACGCTCGGGTAACTGTCAACAATATCTATGTTATTTTCACACAAATGGACGAAGCTTTCAAGGTTAAAAGAGACAAAACCGAGAATCTGAATAGAATCAATACCCAAAATGGGCATAAGGTCTGAGACTATCAGGAAATCTATTTGGTGTTCTGTGCCGTTTTTCGTGTTGATGGCCTTCAACGTGGTGGTACCTCTCGGCAGCAACTTTGAACCATCCCACATTCTGAGGCAATGCTGCGTCCTGTCACATGTCATTCACACACAGTGCTTCTCAGGTAGGATGTTGACAGTAGCCCCTGAGTCCAGTTGGAAACGCACTGGTCGTCCTCGAATCAAAAGTGTCGCGAAAACACACTTGTGTCCTCCACGATTTTCCAAGTTGCTAATCGAAAATTCTTGTAACTGTTCGTTGATTCTCTCGACTATTGCGCTGGCCTTAGCGTACCTGTAACAGCGAGCAAAATGGTTCTTCTTGGAACATTTTGGGCGCGTTTGACCCCAAGCTGGGCAGCTCTCCTTTCTGCTTGGATGTACACGACTGCAAAACTGACAACTCCGACCCTGGCCTTCGGGTGTCTGGGACGGACTATTACTGGTTCGGGATACCGCGCACAGATCGGTGGTTGTTTCGGCTCTCACATGCTCGAATTGCAGCGCCGTCCTTGCTTCACTCAAGCAGACGTCCGCACATTGTTCCAAAGACAGGTTCCTTTGTCTCAGAAGGCGCCGAGTGAGCTCATCATTCTTTATGCCAATGACAATACGATCACGTATCAAGAAGTCTCGCATGCAATTGCAGAAGTTGCAGTTACGCGCCAACAGTTACAGTTCGTTAGGTAAGTCTCGAACGATTCGCTTGGGTATCGATCGCGAACAAAAAATAGATACCTCTGATACGTTTCATTTACCTGTTCTTCGCAAAACGCCCCCAATCCTCTCAGCACTTCTGAAAGTTCCACTTCCTCACCTGCATACACACTGCATATAAACTATTTGCAACAGTCCGTTTCAGTGGCCCATTCCTGCTATTTGCATTGTGTCGCTGGCTCCGTCTCCATTGGTTTATGCTTGCTGACCACGTTCACTCCGTCCGAAATCATCTTAACTTTCTTAGTGGATGTACGAGTGGCGGGATTGGGCCCGCGCGCTTCTTCCCTCGGTCCAATGCCGCAAGCCTTGGCTCAAGGGTGCACGAGTATGCGATCCTTCGCCTGCTTGGTCACTTGCACGTTCAGTGAATGGTTGCAGGCTGGAGGCGATCAGGGGACAACTATTTCCTGATTGGCTGACCAATCTGCTTCTGGCAACATGCTCACTCCCTACCGGTGTGGCCTGTGACGTTTGATCGGCATTACAGCAGTTCCAGTCACCAGCATCTCCAGCCCTCATCACAGGTAGTATGAATGATTGGTTGCGCTAAATTTATTTTTGCTCGGCCTTGAGATTATATGATAAGAGGTTCGGCAAGCATAGTTCTGTTGGCAGCTACAATGTTAAAATGTAAGTGTAGAAATGCAGTTAGAGGCAACCCAAAGGTTATTTCTGAGGATGCTTTTCAAAATACCGTGAATAGCTAAAATGACTGAAGGTATTGACAAAAGCGAATGAAAAAATTTATAAATCAGAAGATGACAATGCTCACTGGACACACACTACAAGAAAATTGTAGCAATGACAACAGGTCAAATGAAGAAGAGACGAACCCGGAAGAAAATGCCGGATAACTTGAGAAACCGGCACGTGAGAGGCAAGAACGTACGTCGGCTATTGCCAAAGATGGCGGCCAATGCGTGCAGGCAAAACAACTGATTATCATGATTATTAGGTGGAGTATCCTTATGTACATATTTTGTTCTTTATTCACCAAAGAGATCGGATGTCCCCGCGCATGTTTTAAGTTAACAAAAATACGCACTACTTTGAAATCTTCAGCTGAACTGAATGCTAAGGAAGCGTCATAACTAGTTCCAGCTGTTTCAACTGTTAGTCGGAAAGAAGGAACGTTCACCAGATTTAGTACCCCACGCGCAAAATAGCTACTCGAATTCGGAACGTTGCGGACTAACGTGACCTAGCCGCTAGACGTGCACGCAAGCTGACTGATAACAAAAATAGTGTAACCTATCCATACTGAACTGAGACCCACAGCTGTCACACAGTGGTAGGTTCCTGAGGAAAACTTAGTGTCCGTGTGGCTTTGCGCAGTAATTGCCACTGTGTTCTCACGAGAGTTTTCTAGGTTCACTGCAGTTTGCCTAATAGATGCATCATTGTCCTGAGTAAAACTCGGTTCACTGTGGATAGGCACCAAAGTCCCGAGAAGAAATCGGTTATTAGTTGCGCAGTCTGTCGCTGCATGGTGATTGTATGTTTGAAGTGAGCCAGACGAAATTCGCGCAAGTTTGGCAGGACTCTACCAGCTCAGCAACGGAAAGTGTTCTCTGTATGGATTCACGCCTTCGTAAAAAGCCACTTGTCCGTGCGTAATCCATTTCACTGACCGGTAGTTGCCATGAGAGATTAGTGCGCGGAGAGAAACTATCAGAAAATCTTTACATGAATTTTGCTACTCGTGTTATCACAACCCAATCTTCACAACATGGCCCTCCTAAAAAGTATTCGCATCCCAGGGCCCCCTTGAATTCTCTATGGTCCCCAGGGGGGCCATACTGCTCCCGTTGAGAATGGCTGCTTTGCACCTCACCCCAGCTGATAGGACCGTATGCGGGGGAGCTATACTCTAGCATAGGTTGTGAGAGCGAAAAGAAGGGGCGTATGGCAATCACTAAAAAACAAGTGCTGAAGCTGCGCCTAAGCGCTCAAAATATAGGAATTCCGCATGGAAATGGCTATTCGTGTTGTCCAAGAACTTTAGGTCGTAGTGTAAGAGTACGCCTAGTTCGTTCACGCAAGCCGTGGGATGAAACGGTTGACTGGCTACAGTGTAGGTTCGGTCGTGTCCATTCTTACCCAGAACCATAAATAACGACTTGACTGGGTTTATCGGAAGGTCGATCACTGCAGACCACATGGAGAGGCGGTGAAGGTTAGGCTGAAACAAGACAGTCCTCTGGTGCTTTGATTACGCTCCCCATCTTCAAGTCATTTGCAAACAACGCACAAAGCGAACGGAGAATCTGGGGAACATCATTTGTTTGGATAAGGAATAACATAGGCCCTAGTACTGTGCCTTGGCATATGCTGCTGGTCGATGCTTGGCTGCAGCGAGCAGCCAACAACGCACATCCTCAGCCTGTGGAGGAGGACCTCATGGTCCCTGAATAACAAATGTGTTTATGAAAGACACATCTCTGCTCAGTGCCGGAACCTTGTTCCGGCTCTCCAACGAGCTACATAACATGCAGCTTTGCATACTTTGTTAAAAAATTTCTCGGTGGATTGAGAACTTTGTGTTGCTCAAGCAAGCAAGCTGTTCAGCTACGCCAAAAGTGTAAGAAACTATCAAAGAAATCAATATGTATTTCATGAATTGCGTAATGCATCCGCGGGAAGCAGGCGAAAAAAGCTCTTGACTGGGGATGAGCGAAGTGGAACGTCATGTCACATTTCTCTCCTTGGATTTGGCTTTCGTGTGCGACTGGCGACTTCTACGCCACCGGGACATGAAATCACGGAGTAACTCGAGGTGGATATCTGAAATAGAGAGCAGATAGAATGGAATATGCTGCCATCTCTTGCTGGTAAAACATAACGCTAAAAGGGGGTTCGAGTTCATTTGATATAGGATGTGTCTGGAGCCAATGCTATCGACAGTTGCTGCGTATGAGAGAACGGAGTGTCTCCAGGTAATCAAATTCTGTGTGGCACCAAGAGGTATCACATTGGACGCAAGCATAACTAGTAGCCAGTTTTGCATGGTATCTACTACATGTAATAAAAGTATAAGATAATAGAGTTGCTGATTAGTGTTTCCAGGTTCCTCATTGCGGTGTTTGGTTTGCGTGACAAATGGCCATCAATCGAGGACCAATCATTAGCCCACAGTATGGCTTTGCATCGAAGTCACAGTGTTTGACTAAGCACCACCAGGTGACTCGACAAAATATGCCCGGTCGAACGAGATTTCAGCACACAAAGCGAAGGTAAACACACGAATATAACCAGGCAGCTAGTTAAGTGCGCTCATGAGGCATAGTAGCGTCATCCATTCAGTCTATTCAGTAAATCACACTAATGAACAATAGACGGGTGCAGATCGAGAGAAATATTTCGGGAGGTTTCGTCGCAGACAGTCCCCTACACCTTCGAAAAAGCGCAGTCACATCCGATTGGGAGGAAACGTTTTGGAATACCAGCGACCTCCTACTGCTGCTTAATAATCGGTATTTATCCATGCTAGCTTATACTGCGACGAGTTAATTGGCAGCTTGGCAAAGGAAGTCGCGACTCTGAGTGTCAGTCTCGCAATCTGCACCGCGGTAATGTGCAAGTCAGTGGAGCGCAAGATGCGCAATACCATGGCTGGTAATCATTCATGACGGTCCGTTGCCATCACACGTGGCTCAGCGGTTTAAATTGCTGAATCGTAGAAGGAAAGTTACCGGTACGAATCCAGCAGAATTTCGTGGATGAGCACTTCTAACGAGTCGTAATATTCCCTACTGTGTCAATCTCGGTATATGTACTGTTGGGGCGATCGTCTAGCGCTCTTCCAGATGTGCGGATAGACATCTTACTGAATAGGGCATCGATGAATCACCGCAATACGCACAAAAACACTAGTTAGACTCGTTACTCTAAAACAATTAAAGTGAGTGAGTCCCGTGGATGTTGCTAAAGAGAGTTCTCCGTACTGTTACCACGAATTCATGTGTGTGCTGCTTCTGAAAGTAGATGAAAACCATTGGGAATATGCGTGGTGTAGGCAGCTCACAGAGGGACACACACACTACTTGGCATTCCCCGTGGTGCACTGAAGCGAAACACGCACGCTAACCGGAGATCTAAAACAGGACCTCATTTAGCACAGGCGCTGCGCTTGATCAATCAAGCGTGGACGCTTAGGAAAATTGCGGTTAGCAATAAAATGTGCATTATCACCGGTTATTCCGATTACCTACTCAATGGCACCGGTTGTTCACCTAAAGGAGCACCAAAAACACTTGCAGTAACTAATACAATAAACGACAAGAGGCTGAACAACGTGTATAAACGTACTGCTGATGATCGACATGATAAAGCTCAGTCTCTGCTCTAGATTTAAGTGTGTTCCGCCAATGATGGAACGTATTAGTTGCGCTGTAGGGATAACTGATTTCAACAGCGATACTCTTGGCTACAATTTCATACCGCAATCGATGATTTTGTCTTATATCCAAGATCGCTTTGAGACAGACTTTTGAATGAAAGGCGACCATCGGCTAATAGCTCGCAGCTTTCTACTTTGGATGGGTGAGATTAATTGGGAGAAAAGGCTGTATGTACAATGAAGGCCGATGATCTAAAATTAGTAACACTTAATCAAAGGGCGTAACACCCGGTGAAGCATAGTTGACAGATGGGCTTCTGCAAAAGTTGGAAAGCATAGGAGTTTGCCCAGTGGTTCTCAACGTTTTCGAGGTTGTTACTCACAAAGCGGGTTCACTATAAACAATTAATTCCCTAAATTTTAGTTTAAATATCGACTTACCTATTAACTAGTGCATTGCACTTTATGAAAAATAAATGATATTTCTAATTACTTTGGGCCATACAATTAAGGAAAACACTTATTTTAAGCAATTTTTGAACAAACAGATAGTGACGGACGTTAATGAGACGATTGAGATTGCTTAGTTCTAACAATTTCTGATATATTTGGCGCGCTTTCGGCTAATGCAGATCGTATTATGCGCAAAGTTCACTCGGTTCCTTGCTTTAGTGTGTGATCCCTGATGTCAGTGGTTCATTCGTTTCGACCATCCCTTCCAAGTCCGTCCTGGATGACAGGTTCCCACCAACACTCTGTATCGATAGGTCCTGGGACACCAGTCGACTGCTTTGTCCCTTTTGTAAACATTCGGTTGCTCCTTCATCTGGTCGGCTCACCTATGCTCCCACCTTAGTGTGCCCACAAATCACTCATTCGACCTAGCGAACGGCCGCCTCATCCAAAAGAAACAGGATCCAGGAGCGAGCCGATAGAAACATCATCTAGCTGCGTGATTTTACAAGCATGTTTTCGTTTTTTTAAGTAATAAAATTTATAAGCGAAAATTGTCTAATTCACTGACCATGCACTAATGATTAGCCACTGGTGGCTAATAGTGGCTAGGTAGTTAGTTAATTGTTTGGATACAGATGATTTTGTTTGACGATAGATTGATGATCAAGTCCTCGTACTTATATTTACCTTCATTAAAGTCCATTATACTACCTTGGGGGTAACTATCTTCAGATTGAGAACCACAGAGTTAGCTGTTATGGTCCCCAAGTTTGCTTCGATTGGTTAATAAGAAGACGGCCTTCAGATATATATTATAAGTCAGAAGAGACAGCGACTACATGGCGCATGCTAGCGATGTACTTGTATGGCGCGGTTGACCTCCCTGAACGTAGTTTCATTCTTTACCAATGATAGTAACAGACTGTACTGGTATACTCTTCCGATCCACTAATGAGGTTTTCTTGCGGATTTCTAGGTTAAGAATCCGATTTTAGGGATGTGTCACTCTGTTCGATTCCTTAGGTCCCCCTCCTAACACCTCCCGTTTAAAGTCCCCTGTTATACAATTTCAGCTTGCTGTTAACTTGAAACAGCGTGATCAGGGTGTTGCATCGGTTCGTCCATCTTCTGGGTCGACAATCCGGAGGAGGAATTGGTGAAGCGGTGATCCAATCTTGCTGAGTGGCCACAGTCGTTGACAGGTTGAACTCGTCCAGGTGTATTTGAAGAGGAGTGGTCAAAGCATCTTGCTCCGTATCGAATGAGGTGCATTTCCTGAGTTGGATGATGTGGCGGACGCACTTGTCCTTGCCTATGGCCACGTCAGAGCAGACATGGCCATATCTTTTGGTAACCAATCCATGTGTTCAGGAGATTTTGTCCAGTCAAAGGACCCTTTGCTAACACCATTCGTCCAACACCGAACTACCGTGGTGCAGCGTGGTGCCTTCGACTGTAATGATGCTCCATTACCGTATTCCTTTCAGAGTTGTGTCTGGCAAACGGCTGTACCAGATCAAATTTCGTTCGAGGCTTTCTGCCTAGGAACGATTTCGCTGTGGACTCTCCGTCAGGCATCTGTGGATTGGGCGTAATCATGTATATTAAAAGGAAAGTCTGCAGGACCCGATGAATTGGTCCATCGCCTTCAGCTTTTAGCAATGACCTTTTGAAGATACCCACAACTTTATCAGCTTGTAGTGGTGAACTAAGGTCCATTGTTGGATACTATTGTTTATAGAAAACCAAACCGACTAAATGCTTTCACGAGAATGATGATCGTGGAGGACATTAAGGCGTTGGACATTTGAAAGATCTCAGACCACTTACTGTATGCATTCATAGAAAGAACTTTCGTCCTTTGACTGGCCCTGAAAAATCAAGGTGAACCCTTGAGCACAGTTTCGTGGGTGTCGGTCAGGAGAACAATTCGCATTTCCGCGATAATTTCGCAGGTCGGGCACACTTTGAACAAGAAACGCGTTAATACCTCAATTTGAGAATCAATAAACGGCAAGTATAGGTATCTTCTCGCCAAAGTCTTCATTCTGTTGTAGCCAAGATGTCCAGTATGAAACTGCTGTAGGATTTTAGCTTGGAGTTCGAGCGGAATGATGAAGTGTAGACCAAAGTGAACGCGGTCTTGGACGAAAATGCATTTCGTCTCTGAAAAAACTGTCGTGGCTGTGAGTCCGAAATTTTTCGTGGCCACCGTGAGTAGTGAAACTTGTTCACTTGTATCAGCAACGGGTCCCGTGAGGTGACGTCTCGAATCAGATTGGAAGGTATTGGGAGCTGGTTTACAGTAGTTGCATGCCTCAGATGCCATGACAACTGGCATCTTTGGATCATAGTGCGTCAGCATCAGTTCAGAAGTTAACAGCGACTTGATCTTGTCAAAAACCTATCGACATTCCGTGGTCCAGACCCATGGGACATCCTACATCAGCAGTTGGTTTACTGGTCCGCATAGGTTGTGAATAGACGGCACAATGGAGCAATACGGGTTAAAAAAAGCTTACCAGGTCCAGTGGAATGGTTTGTGGGAATTAAGTTCAAAACAGTGGTTACACTAAAGTGAAAAGTACGTCTATGGATACCATATTATCCACGTTGCCATACATGTCTAACAGTTTACCAAGATTTCATGGAGGCTGGTGAGCACAATGTTTATCCGCGAACTGTCGTTACTTAATGAACAAAAACCAAATCAGCCAATGTAGGCAAATCAAGGAAAAATTTCGATGTCGCTTCGTGCTTAGGTGGTGGCATGTTCGTGATCGTCTTTATGTTTGACGGATCTGGTTAACGCCCATTCTGATCAATGATAAAACCGAGGTATTTACCTCGGTTCATTCCCAGTCGGAATACATACTCGTTTATTCTGTTCACCACGTATTCTATTAGTTATCTCAGGTATGCTGCAGCATTTGATATTTCTTGTGACATCGCGTTCATGATTTGCTGAAAAATTGCCGGAGTCGATTTA